CAGCTTCCTTTGACTTTCCAGACACATTCCAGCCCCTTTGCAATGAATTCCTTTAATCAAAAGTGGTGGGTTTTCTTCTTCCTTACCCCCTTTCACCAGGGTTTCCACCTGCAGTTTGTTTAACTCTGGTCTGGACCACACCTGGCGGTGTCATGGGCAAAAAAGAGCCAGCACCTGAGTACTGGCCTTAAGTTAGGGACTGGAATCAGGGTCCAGGAACTGACCCTTTTCCTAAATTCCCTTTCAGCCTTTCTAAATCAAACCAAACAAACTAAAGGGGGGACACTTTAAAAAACAAGCCCAGAAAACACAACTGTGTCACCCAAAATGGGGAAATGGAAAACAAATCCATCCTCCGGAGCTTTAGTCTGAAACATACCAGAGCTGGCACTGTAAGAGGGTGAGAACTATGTTGGTCTGGGCAAGTGTGAGACCCTGTAGAGGAAAAAGCAACATTTTCCAATGACAATGTGGGCAGATAACAGCTGCATGCAAATTATGTGCGGTTTAGCCTAAACCAGGGTTAAGGTTAGGAATCTCCACATGATCTTCTTTCTCCAGAGTGCGCTCACACTGACAGCCACCAGGTGTGACTTCTGATCAGACCTGTGTCTCCAACCACAGGTGGGCTGCTTCCAGGGCTATGAGCAGCTAACCTGCCTCCCCATCTTGAAACCCACACCCCACTTTCCACTGAAAAGAACATGGCAAGAGAGACAGATAGGAGGGGGCACAGGTGGATGTTTTCAGGGATGCTCTGGGGTGAGACCTGGAAGCCCACTGTATCAGTAGCAGAACCGCCACCCCCAGTTCCTGGGATGTGAAAGCTCAGATCCTCTTCAGCCCCTGAACCCCAGACCCCATTTCCTCCCTGAGCTGCCTACAGTTTCAGAAGCAGTTTTAGGAGGCCCAAGGAGGTGGTGCAGGAAAGCTGAAGGCCTGCCTATGGCCAAGGAGGCACAGGAGACACAGGAGTGTCCAGCTCATTCTTCGAGGTCACTAAGATGCTGGGTTTTTATTTTGATGTCCTTTTAGAGGAGCGTTAAAAGTAGTGTGGGGAGGGCCCTCATGGTGGCGCAGCGGGTTAAAGCACAGCACTAAGAAGCTAAAGCTACTTCTGCATGAGTTTGATCCTTGCCTGGGAGGTGACCCACATGGTGCGGCAGACCTCTCCTGACCCTCCTGCTGCTCCCCTCAGCAGTGTACTTCATTGATCTGCCAGTTCTGCTCCCCACTCTGTCTCTGGTGAAGCCTCTCACTGTGCCTGTACCCCAGTTCTGTATGCACAAATAAATAAATCTTTATATTTGCAGGCAGATTTAGATTCTGTAGGGCTGGGAGGAGCTTGAGATTCAACATTTTTAACAAGCTCCCAGCTAAGGCTGTGTGACTGACCCGTGGCCACACTTTGAAGAGCAAGAACCTAAGGATCTAAAAGTCTGGAACAAATCAGTGCCAGACACAGCCAAGTTACACAGGGCGGAAAACTGAGACCCGGAAGAGAAAAACAGTGAAACAATGGCAGACACAGATAGAATCAGAGGCCGCGGCAATGGGAACAGAGGGAGACAGAAGGACTGAGAGAAGAACAGAGCCCAAGCAACAGAGAGGAAAAGGCAGGAGGACCGAAGTCAGAGACCGGGAGGCTGGCAAAGACGGAGCGAGGCAGCGAGAGGAGAAGTGTGGTGGGAGGCTGCCGCCCGCACCACACCCGTGACCCCAGGCTCCAGCGCGGTCTCCAAGTCTGGAACAGCGGTGAAAGGGCTCATGGGAGGTGCGCGCGACCAGCCCACAGACTTTAGCCCCAGTAGCCCTCCACCTTTGGAACTTACCAGCCTGCCCACAACTGCACTGCCCTCTCCACACTCAACGGGGCTCCTCTGAACCTTCCACTGCTGCCCTGTCGTTGTCTCCGGTGTGTTTAAACTCCTTCTCTTAATGGGACCTTCCTAACAGGTTTTAAGTATTTCCAGTCTTCCGTTGTATTCTCTGCACCCTCCCCCCACCTCACCCCAACAAGAAATCTCATAGCCTGGACCAGTTTGTCTCTCCTCCTTTTGTCATTTAAACTTCTTGGTGAAACTGTCCATCAGTTTCTATCTCAGTGGCCCTCCCCTACTGTTCTTGGCAAGGTTATCAGGCCCAGCCTGAGTCTGCTGGTTAATTTCCTATCATTTACTTTATCTCTTAGCTGCCTTCAGTTCCCTGAATCTGCCCTCCAGCTTGCTGGCTTCTGGTTTTCCCTCTGCCAGCCCCATTTCTGACTCCTGACCCTCCGTCATCTGATTTTCATATTTAGAGTCACCGACCCGAGTCCTGAGTCCTCTTCGCCCATTCCTCTCTCCCAACCCAGCCTCAACTATCTTTCCAAGTTATACTCCAGCTCAGACTTCCCTGTGCACTCGAGACCCTTACTTGTGTCTTCACACTCAGTGTCGCCTCACCACCTGCCTCAGGGGCCTCCAGGGCCCTCAAATTCAAGGCAGCCAACACCAGCCTGGTGTTCTTATGGTCCCAAACTAGTCTTCTTCCGGAGCACCCCCTCAGAACACAGCACAATCACCTGTCTGAGTGTTTGAGCCAGAACAGGGATTTTGGCCTTGACATTTCTTCTCCCTCCCTCCCTTCCTCCCTCCCTCTTCCATATCTAGTTTATGAACAAACACTGCCAACTTTATTTTCCCGATACTTTTTGATTTTGTCCACTTTTCTCCATTTCCACTGCCACCATCCTAGTCCACGCCTGCAAAACCTCTCACATGAGGATACCAATAGCCTCCTAACAGTCTTTCCCCCTTTTCTATACTAGCAAATGTGGTCTTCGCAAAATAAAAAATCTGGTCACATTGACCATATTTTTGCAGCTTAAAACCTTTTAACAACCTCCCTTGGATCTAAAAAAAAAAAAAAAAAAGACCCAATTCCAGGACACTTCTGGGATCGTTGCCCTCCAGGTCTTCTTTCAGTTCCTTGAACATCAAGTTCCTCTCTGCCACAGGCCACTTGCATGTGCTTTGTCCTCTGTATAGAACAATGCTGTCCTAGATCGTAGCTGCAAGCCACATGTAGCTATGGAGCACTTGAAATACAGCTAGTGAGACTGAATGGGATAGCTCAACTGCTATCCCATTTTAATTCAATTTAATTAAAAATTGTTAAACTTGGGCCCTCCCTGGTGGCGGAGTGGGTTAAAGCACAACACAAAGAAGCTTAAACCACTTCCTCATGAGTTCGATTCCCGCCTGCCCCGGAGGGGATCCACATGGCGTGGCAGACCTCTCCTGACCCGCCCGCTGCTCCCCTCAGCAGTGTACTTCGTTGATCTGCCTGTTCTGCTCCCCACTCTGTCTCTGGTGAATCCTCTCACCCTCCGCATCTCTGACCTGTACCCCAGTTCTGTACGAATAAATAAATAAATCTTTAAAAAAAATTGTTAAACTTATATTCAACTCAGTTATTGGAAAATTGTTCTCTACCTTAGATATACTCATCTACTTTTCAACTTGAGTTTTTATGAAATCTACACACAGATCTAATATCTTTGGTGAAAATCTAGTGTTTGAATTAAGATATACTGTAAGTGTAGAACTACATACAGAATGTTGAGACTTAGTTCAAAACAAAAGACGGTAAAAGATTTCATTCATAATTTTTAAATGGACTGTATGTTGAAAAAGATAACATTTTACATCTATTTTGTTAAATGTAAGATATGATTAAAATTAACTTCCCCTGTTTCTTTGGCCTTTTAAATTTGGCTACTAGAGAAATTTTAAATTATGCAAGTAGCTCATATAGTATCTATTGCACAGCACTGGTCTAGAGTGTCATTCCTTCTGTCTTAACTCCTTTGACTCATCCTATACTCTGGTTTCTCTTCAGATCGCATAAATCTTTCACCTTTTACTCCTTTGACTCATCCTTCAGAATTTAGTTCAGTTATCACCTCTGAAAAGCGTCCCTAAAATAAAATCTTTTTATTCAATTTCAGAGACTCTCATAGCTGTGTGTGTGTGTAGGGGGTTGCCTTCTAACTCCGCCCACGTGTAAATATTCATTTATTCAAATAATTATTTGATTCACACCTGTCACCCCTACAAACCTCTAAGCTCCACAAGCACAGGAACCCGAGCGGGGCTCCCCCCGGGAAACAAACACTTTGCTCATTGCCTGGTGCAGAGATGGTTGCCAGGGGACATCTAGGATGCCATGCAGGCCACCACCCGGCTTTGCCTGTGGGTCGAACTGTCCCCGGCCATCTCAGAGAGCCCGGCACCTCCCTGCCCCCTGAGTGCCTCTACTGCACTTCAGTGTTTAGAGTGTACCTCTCCCGATGGGAAGTCTTCCTTTGGAGCAGACCCAAAGCCCTCCTGCTGCAAGCCGGCCAGGCCTTTGTTCCCTCTTTGAGCGCTGCTTCTCAGGCCCGGATGTGCCGGCCAGTCCCCAGGAACCCTGCTCAGATGCAGACTCTGGCTCATCAGGTCTAGGAATGGGGCCTGAGATTCCCTTTCTAGCCAGCTGTCCTGTGACAACACCGATGCCGGGTCGCAGGCCACACCTGGATGTAGAGAATGTGGCTACCCCCTCAGAGGACCCCCAAAGCTTTCTTCTGCTCGGGACCCTCTGACTAGGAGGCCACTAGTGGTCTCTCGAAATTCAGTTCCCTTCCTGCTCCCTCCCGGGCACTCTACCATGTTGAAAAGGAATGTAGTAACTGTGGCTACTGTTGTCATTTGGTTTTTGGTTTTAATTTGAAATAAACCGTTAGCCAGTTTTCAGAGTCAGGGCAGCCCTGATATGGATCATGTAACAATATTCTCCAATGATCGAGTCACAGCGCTGGAAATGCAGAAGCAGTCTCAAGCCCGGGCTCCTGTGCGCCCTGCAGGACCGACGTGACCAGCAGCTCCGGAAGGCTCCACCTGCCACGTCCAGGCTTGCCCCTGGGAAATGTCTTCCAACATGTCTATGGCAAGCTGCATACACCAGGCGTGTGCTGAGGGTCCTCTGCCGGCCAGAGGACCCCGCTGCCTCCCCGTCCTCTCCCACGCTGATGTCCGAGGAACAGAAGTGTACTCCCGTGGCCTTGAGAATGTGCGTGCACACGTGTGTGCATGTTTGCTGGTCGCATGTGAGACATGGGGTCTGTGCGGTGCATGCATGTGGGCTGCGTGTGCGTGGCCCTTGGCACTCCACGTCAGGGAGGCTTTCATCACACAGAGCAGCGCTGGGCTTTTTCTGCATGGGCCTGGAGGCTGCACAGTGTCCCTAGGTGGGCCCCGCAGACGTGACGGGCCCCACTGTCCCTTGCTGCGGTGGCGGCTGCTGGCCCTTGCGTCTCCTGGCAGCGCCCGCCTCATTGCTCTCCTTCCTGCTCAGGTTCCTGCTGGCCTTCTCCCGCCGGCCCTGGCCGCCTTTCCTCCTCTTCTGCCCTGCAACCCCAACAGCAGGACGGGTCATCAAAGACTGCCCCACCACAAGCAGTCAGGCTCTGGGCACGGCCACAGGCCTGAGCAGGACTGGTGAGGAAGCTGGCCTGCGGGAGGCAGGAAGACGCCTGGAGACGTCCGCTGCAGGCCCCTCTGACCGGAAGCCTACTCAGACGACCCTGCAACTTGGGTCCTGAGCGGGATCCCAAGAGCCTTTGTGTCTTCCATCCCTCAGCGAACCAGACGCCCTCCCCTTCCTCATGCCATCCTCCCACTGGATCCCAGTGGGCCAGCAGCACTTCCAGATGTTCAGTGCATGTCTCAGAACAGGCTAGAAGATTCCCCACAAAACCTGCCCCCCAGTGCCAATGACTGACCACGTGACCTGAGTCACATCACTACACCTGCATGGGACTTTGCGCTCATTGCTGGGCCCTGAACTCCAGGATCCCTTCCCGAACCAATATCCACAGACCAAGACAAAAAGAGGAGGGGTGTGGACAAGAGGCTGCCAGTGCCCACCAGAGCCCTGGCACTGCTCTGTCAGGACAGCGCCCTGGTTCGCACGGCCTAGGGGCCTGAGGCGAGCTTGGCCTGAGGTCCTCTCAGGCAAGAGCAGGAAGCAGAGCTGTGGGGCCTCCCACCGTGTCTGACCCCGCCCCGGGAGGCCCCCTGGCCGCAGCTCACCTTCAGAACAGGGCGTCCTCCGCACTGTGCACCTCCGGGTCTCCTTGATGTCGGTGCAGGGGGCGAGGTCCCCCCCAGAGGCATGGAGCACCCTCCGCGTCCGCTCCTCAGAGCCCTTCCGGAAACCACAGAGCTTCTTCTTCTTGGAGCATGGACCCCATGGGGACCACTCGCTCATTTCACATTGTGCTGGCAGGCAGGGAGGGGGAGAGGAAGGGCAGCAGGGGTCACGTCTCCCCCCATGACCTGGGGAGCCGGGGGAGCCTCTTGTACCTGCTCTCTGCCTAATCCTTAGGCAAAAGCGTCTCTAGTCAGAAGGGCAAAGGAGTCCCAAGAGACAGCCCAGAGGGTGTTTGTGGGGCAAGCTTTCTTGTGCGGCAGCTCCCCTGGCCAGCCCCCTCCCCGGGGCCTCTGGCACCTCACCCGGACTGCTGCACTCCATGGTGCTGTTGGGCGCTGCAGAGCCCTCGGGGCAGGCCGGGTAGCAGCGGCCCTTGTGCAGGTACAAGTTCTCCTTACACTTGGTGCAGAAGTTGTGGCTGAAGCAGGCCTCGCAGTGCTCGATCTTGCATTCTGAGGAGAGGACCAGATGGGGGGCCTCTGGTTCAGCCTGGAATGGACACTGCCCTTCATCCCCATCCCCAGCACCCACCCATCCACTCCCACCCACACTGAGGACAGGTGCAGGCCTGGAGTTGCAATGACCCCCCGGGGTGTGGGGAAGGAAGGGAAAGGGCAGGGGGAGGCCAAGGTGGTCACGCTTAAAGGGCGACATGGAGACTTGCCAAGGTCCACCAACTCCCAGCCCAAAGCAAACCCAGTGCGGCCCTGGAGGCAGAGGGGAGGCCTGAGAGAGGCAATTTCAGAAGAGGAGGATAGGACCCTTTGGGTGGGAGTAAGAGAGGAGCATCCTAACATCACACAGCACCCCAGAACTGAACTGAAGGACATGCTGACACCCCATCCCAGAGTGTTTGTCTGTTCTCCTCTTTCCCTGACTTCTGGGTATCTACAGCACCCAAACCCCGGTTCTGCTTCCAGAGTAGAAAAAAAAATCTTGGAGGAGGTGGGGGGGAGTGGGGGGATGATCCCAGGGCAAATTCCTCTTTCTCTGTAAATTCAAGTTCCAGGAACCACCTTGGTTGGGCTCCTGGGTCCCTCCCTGACCCTTCCTGCCAGCTCTCCCTCCTCGGGGGAGCAGGGCGGGTGGGTGGCAGGGCTCTGCTGGAGCAGGCAGGCCTTGCGCAATCCCTCCCCAGATTACTGACTTCCTCCATCTCTGGCACCTGACCCCAGCTGCCAGGGAATTCCCCACCCCCAATACCGGGGGGGCCAAGAGGGCAGCTCCATCCAGGTTCCTAGGTCCATCTGCACACGCTCCCCACTCCCACCTCATTCCTCCTGGCCTCTGTGGATTGAACCCAGCTTCGCTCCCTCCCCTCTCCTCTGCGCTTCCTTCCTTCTCTCAGCTGATGCCTGGGCTAGGTTGCAGGTAAAAGACAATAAGAATCTACTGCGTATTGAGTATCAGGCACAAGGGCTTTACCTAAGCCTCTCCCAACAACCCTGGGGGGGGGGGGTAGGAGGGACAAAAACTAGGGCTGCATTTTAAAGATGAGGTTTTGAGAGTTTGCAACATGCCCACAGTCACCCAGTGAATAAACAGTGGAGTTGAGATTCGAATCCAAGTAAGTTGGTCTTGGGTCAGTCATTTCCCTACCAACCTGGATATCACCTATAAAAAATGCATTGTAACCGAAGGCTGCTGTGAGGCTCAATGGAGGTGATCTGGAAATGCATTCTAAACTCCGAGGCCCTGAGCAAATGGAGGGGCATTGGCATTGTTCATCAGTGTGTCCCCTGTGTCTCCCCAGCTCGTCACAGCTGAGACAGGAGGGCGGCGTGGCCACACGTGTCCTGCAGCACATAGCTGTAGCTGGGGTGGGAGAGTGGAGTGAGAAGACCAGGGGGAAGAGGCTGAGCAGGCTGGCCTGGGCCGAGTGTCCTGGGGGCTGGAGGCAATGAGGCCTTGAGCAGTAATGTGCTGGGCTAGGCTGTGTGGCTCAGAGCATCCTTCCGGCTGCAGGGCTGAAGGGCGGGAGGGAACCAGGTGAGGCCTGGAGGACAGATGAACAGGCTATGGCAGGGGTCGAGGAGAGGGATGATGGAGCCTGGCAAGACAATGACAGTGAGGCAAGAGAAAGAGAGGAGACGGCCAGGCAGGCAGTGAAGGGTGGAATGGAGTGGACCGGAGAGCCTGGCTGTGGGCTGGCGGTCTGGGTGACTGAGAGGGGCCTGTGGGGCCACAAGGCTGTGCGGGTTGGGAGGGAGGGGCTGTGGTGCTGACATGGACAAGCGAGTGGGACATGTGAGCGGGCATCTCAGGTTGCCCAGCAGCAGGGTATTGGCGTGAGGAGTTTCCTCCCTGTCCTGTGTCCCCTCTGCTCTCATCAGCCACCGGCAGTTCAAAGCACCCCGATGCCTCCACTGCCCTTTCCAGCCCCGCCACACTCACTGATGCACTTGTTCATGTCGGGGTTGCGGGCATCGAAGTATCCAGGTGGGCAGGACGGCAAGCAGACGCCCACCTGGCGGATGTCGTTCCTCTCCAGCAGGATGAACAGCTTGGGCGAGCACTTGAGGCAGCCGTTGACCTCGGAGCAGAGTTCACAGCCCTTGGCGCAGGCCTGACTCCCCTCAGCGCTGACTGGAAGGCGGAACAGGGTGAGAGGGCAGCGGAGGCGGGAGCTCTCTTTCCCAGGCTCCCCCAGGCCGGGAAGTGAGTAGACAGACAGTGCTTCTGGGAAGCACAGGCCAGCACAGGCCAGCTGCACAGCACCCCGATGCTTGGATGCTTGCTCGGAGCCACCTGCAGCACGAGCTCCGATCCACCCCCAGGGCCTCCCCTGCCACCAGCATCCTCAGAGAAGCTTCCAAAGCTGCACCCTTGGAACTCACCCTCCCCTGCCAGCGGGGAGTTCAGCCCCAGGTGGAAGGGTTTTTTTTTTTTATCCTTGAGAAAGTTTTAAGGAAGAATGGAGTAAAAGACCACATGCCCAGAGGCAGGAAGACAAATGGAATAAGAGTGTCTCAACCAATTGGAATAACAGTGTCTCAACCAGCCTCAATTCTCTTCCCCTGAGAGACATGTGCCATTATCTGGAGACATTTTTGATTGGCACACCAGAGAGGGAGGTTGCTACTGGCGTCTAGAAATAGAACTGCGGGTGGAAGAGGCACTAAACACCCGACAAAACAGGGGCAGCTCTCACAGGCATTACCCGGCTCAAAATGTCAGTGGTGCGGAGGCTGAAACCATCCTCTAGCTTGGAACCATCCTCTGAGGCAGTGGGACCTCCAGTCCCGGCTCCAAACCTCAGACCTTTGATCTCAGTCCCTCATCAACTTGTTCAACTGACACTCACCAAGCCCCTTCTAGGTACCCCGAGTGCGTGAGTGCTGGGGACAAGGCAAACAGCCTGCTCTCTCTGTAGGGGAGCTGATCTTTCAGTGGTGCAGAGAGGCCCCCACACAAGCTGACAGCCATAAGCCGTCTAATACTGGGCCCCAAAAGAAGAGAGGGATGGAGTCACAGAGTTGCCACCGGGGTCGACTCTTGGAGAATCGTAGAGATTTGCCATTAGGAGGTAGCAGCAATGGGCCTCTGGGAGCAGCCACACAGGTGTAGAACAACGGAGGGGAATTGCAGAGAACTTGCAGGGTGGGGGCAAGGATGGGAGTGGTGAAAGGCAGGGTCCAATCTTGAAGAGACTTTTACATCACGCTAAGGAACCTGGGCGTGATCCTGCCAGGCAGTATGTCCCTAAGAGAACTCATTGGAGCGTGATTCCCCCAAATGGACACAGGAGGATGTGGAGGAAAGATCACTGCATCAGGGAGCACAGGAAACCACAAGTTAATGAGCCCAAGCAGCCCGCTTTACTATAGGACTTCTTAGACCTTAAGTATGCTCCAGTACAGTGGCTGGTTAGTGGTTCCCAGGATTTTGGCCATAGAAACTTTGATTTGCAGAGTGTCTGGGAACCTTTGAGCTATTTAAGCAGGAGGGAGCCAATGGCAAGTTTTAAGCTGGGTCTGGCCTGATTTACACGTTGGAAAGTTTCCTGGGCAGCCCAGGTGGAGACCAGAGGGCTGTGGGCCATTACGGAGGAAACCACCCAAGTCAGAATGTCTTAAACAAAATTCTGTTCAATAGAGAGGTGGGGAGAAAGATTTGAGAGAAGCTTCAGGAATACAATTAGTTTAAACAGCAATCAGTAAGCAGCCAGGAAAGAGAGGAGTGTCAGACGAGTCCCAGAGTTCTGACCTGGCTATGGGTGACCAGCAAGACCCACTGAGAATAAGAGGCGCATGGGGAGAGAAGCCAGTTGAGAAGGAAGGAGAGGAGCTACTTAGGAGGAACCAGGCAGCAAAGAGCTAGAGACAGAGAGCTGGGAGAATCAGAACAGATGCCAGGAAATATACACGAAGTGGACCTGGAGTTTCAGGCTTCAGAGTTGGCTGGCTTGCAGGCAAATCCCAGGCCTGACATACTGCACAAGAGGCTGCCTCTTGCATGCCTCTCTTCCCACCATTGAAAAGGATGCCACTCTGGGGGGGCACTGGGGGGAGCATCTGCTCCAGGAGTGAACCCTCATTTCAGAGCAGGAGAATGAGGAGAAGGCAAGCAGAGAATCCCAAACAGTAACAATGACAGCAAAACCATCATCACCATTACGACCATCACCACCATCATCATCACCATCATCACCATCATCTCACCATCATCACCCCCATCACCATCATCACCCCAATCATCTCCATGGCGGTCTGGGGAGAACTCTGCCTGCGATAACATCACACTTTGCTGACGCAGATGGCCCTTGCCGCCTGGTCACCGTGTGTCCCCTTCCCTGTCCCTCGTAAAACTTTGTCCTCTGGTCACCGTGTGTCCCCTTCCCTGTCCCTCGTAAAACTTTGTCCTCCATTCCTATCCCACTCTCCGGACCCTAGTCCTCATCCTACCGTCGCATGATCAGCCTCTACTAGCCCGTGTGATTTCAGCAAATGGCGCAAGGGCTTGTGCCCGAGCGGCAGAGTCCTGCCTCACACCGCTCCACCACTGCTTGTCCCTCAGGGCGCTCCCGCCGCAAAGCAGCGACATATGACTGGTCTGGCTTTGGTTCAATGTAGAATGTACTTGTAGAGCGTCAGTGTTACCATTTAATTGATCAAGACGATAAAAGTATCGTCTTGATACTTTCAGTATCATTCTTGTTGGTTTAGTTATTGTAAGAGCAAAAAGTTCAAATGTTGTATTGGAGTTATGAGAGAGCCTTTGGGATGAGTTTCACTTTGGGCCTCTATTGAGCAGTATCAGTGAGCCTGCAGATTTTAGGTATTACTTCCACCCCAAAGATAAATCCTTTATTACTCACTATTTTTACTTAATTTATTGTTGAAATGAATTCTAGGTTTCTGCCTCCCTTTCCTTTAACTGCCGTCACAAGGGTCTCTACAATGATCCTTTCGCTTTCTCCTGTCTTATCACTGGTATCCAGGATGGCGAAGGGGCCATGTCCGAACTCCACTACCTCCCATTCACCCAACGACAGTCAATTCTGGGTACATTCTTCTTCCGAGCGATCAGTGGCACGCAAGAGAAAGACAGTTCCCACAGGGTTCTGAAGTTAGTGTGGCATGGCCAGAGCATGGAGTAAGTGGTTAGACATCAAGCAGGGCCAGGCGAGAAAGGGTCTTGAATTCATACAAAAGAGTCCAGATGTTATCTGAAAAGCAATGAGGAATCCCTGGTGGCTTTAAAGTAGCAGGCAAGGTTGGGAGTCCATGCTAGGAAGGTCACTCTGAAGTGGGGAGAAGGGGCCGGAGGGAGCACAAGGCGGAGGAGGCTAACCCCCAAGCGCAGAGAGGCCACTGAGCCGGGAGGGTCACAAGAGTGGCCACGTAAAATCTCCAGTGATGAAGTCAACAAGTGAAGGCGGTGGGCTGCACGTGGGGGTGAGGGGCGGAGGAAAGCACCAGTCCCCGTGACTCCAAGGAGGTGGGCGTGTGCCACAGGGTGGCTTGTGGGCCCTCCCTGAGAGCAGGAGGAGGAGGCGCAGCAGCAGCTCCCCTGGGACACCAGGGAAGGTGTTTACCTGGCAGCTGACCATGTGAGTCAGGAACTGCAAGGAGACATCTTGGCTGGAGACCTGTGAGATGGTGCAGTCATCAAAGGAGATGTATGAAATGGGACGGAGAGTGAAGAGTGAGGAGAAGAATCAGACATTAAAGAATGGAAAAGAGGAGCCTGTAAGAGGCCAAGAGGGAACAACCAGACAGGTCAGGGTGTTCAACACAAGGCAGGATGGAGCAGAGAGAAGAGCCGTCAGCCGAAGCCAGGCATGACCAGTGTCACAGGTGGCGGTGTCGTGTTAGGAGGCACCCTGGGTGGCTTGGAGAGCAGAAGGCTATAGTTGAGAGCAAGTGGAAGCTGAGGAGGGAGAGCCATCAAGAGAGAGGATTCATGGATCTGACCAGGAAGCCATCGCTGGTGATTAAATCTACTGGAGCATCACCAGTGGGTGACTGGTCAACCACAGGAGGACATGGCAGGCCAGGCTGAAGGCTCCCTCTGGCCCCTGTGCCTATGAAGGGAGGGGGACGTTGCAGGGTTGTGGTCTGGCAGATGAGGCTGGGTGGGCACAGACATGGGGAGGGTGCGCAGACAGGAAGTGGAGCCTCCTTTCCACCTTCTTCACAAGGGCCCCTCACCCAGCCCCGCCCTTCCTGCTCCCTGCCCAGCTCTCTTAGATCCCAAGCCAAGACAGAGCCCTGCCCACTCGGAGCCCCCTCAGGAACTCAGGGATTAGCCCCCTCAGTCCTTGTCCCTGACTCCAGCCTCAAGCCTCAGAAGCCCTCCTCGCCAAGCCAGGAAGGCAGGACTGGCCCACCTTTATCCTGTTAAACCATTTCAAGCTGATGATCCTATAACCAGGGCTTGCTCCACAGGACTCAGTCCCAGTCTTCCTGGAGGACTTCCGGCTGTGGCTTCTCCTCTAGGCAGTATCACTGCCCCCGGTCTCCCCAGCATTTTCAGCTCTAGAGACCCTTCTAAAGCCAATATTGGGGCCTTCCTGGTGGCACAGGGGTTGAAGTCTCAGTGCTATCAAACTATTGCCACACGCTAGCCTCTGCGGCCCTGAGTTGGACACCCAGCCAAGGAGGTGACCCACATGGGGGCGACAGACCCCTCTTGTCTCACTCGCTGCTCCCCTCAGCAGTATAGTTCCTCCATCTGCCTGTTCTGCTCCCCACTCTGTCTCTGGCGAAATCTCCCCCCCCCCACCTCTGGCCTTACCCCAGTTTTGTATGCATAAATAAATACATCTTTGAAAAAAAGCCAAAACCCAACACGGATATGTCCCACACCTGCCTAAAATCTACCAGCAGCTCCTTGTGGCCAGAAGAAGGAAGACCAACCTCCTCCATGACCAACCCCAGCCCTCTCATCTCTACCCCTAAGCAACATGGGACTATTTTTGTTTCTCTGAACACATCATCACTACTTCACACCTCTGTGCCCTTTTTTGAGTTGGTCCTTCTGCCTGGAACACTCTCTACCTCCTCCTGAATCTGATTGTCTCCTTCAACCCTCAGAGCTAGTGACCTTCTCCAGGAAGTCTCCCCTGATCTCACCTCCCTACAAAGTCTGAATAGAGTACTTCTCTGTGTCCCCACAAAACATGGGCCCCTGGTACTTGAATCCATCATGGTAGATACCATCTTGGAGATTATTATCTGCTAAAATGTCTTTTTCTCTCACTAGAAAGTGCTGTAGAGAGTGGAAACTACCTTTTTTCTGAATGGGAGCCAAGTATGGGGAAAGACTCCATAAATGGATTATATAGTAATGGGGGTTCAGGTAGGCTACTGAGGGTCAATGGGGGATGACAGGAACTCACCACAGGGACGAATCTGCCCAAGGGAGTAGCCTTGGTGGAACCTGATTTGAAGAGCGACCTGCATTGGGTGGGCAGGGGTGGGAGGTTGCAGAACAGGCTTCATCGTGGAGGCCAGCAAGAAGTGGCAAGGGCACTTCCCAGGTCACTGGCTTGAGTTTGTCCCCAGGGCCCTGGGCTGCTGCTGCCATGCGCCTGGGGACAGCCAGCACCCTTTAGCCCAACTGCTGAGTTTAGGCCTCACTTGCCTCCCCTTGGCCTTTTAAATGGCCCGTGAGCCTCCCACCTCAGCCACCTGCCACCTCCCCTCACCCCTCCTGCCCTCAGCGTGCTGCTTCCCCAATAAGACTTCTCAGTGGCTCCCCTTTATCCACAGCTCTAGTCAGGGCAAGGGCAAACTCTTCAGCTTGGCAGCTGCAAAATACCCTGCCCTCTGACCTCTGCCTGCCTCCTCCGTCAGCGGCATCCCCCTCAGGACCATGTTCTTGGCCCCAGGTACCTTCTCTGCCCTACCTTAAGGGGAGAAGGGTTTTAGCAACACAGGAACTCGGCTGTTCCAGTTGCAACCCTGAGGCACACCAGGATTTCACGTAGAAACTATTTCTCCAGCTACTCCAAGCTGAATAGGGCAGAAACCCCCTCCCACCCCACACCTTTGGCCATACCAGCCCCACCCCCCACACCTCCCCCATGTCCATTAGCAGTCACTACACTAGTCTGAAATGGTCTCCGGCTCACACCCCGGCTCTTTGCGGAATCCTCAAGACTCTCTGGGCCCAGGGCAGGCCCACAGGTTTGCCATGAACATGTTAACCGGCACAGGGATGAATGAGGTTTCCCGGAGGGAAGGTGGTCTGAGGGAGCAAACAGCTAAGATTCAGGTGGAGGAGGAAACAGTGAGAGGGGACCGTGGGGGTCATGGAATGAGGGGGTCCAAGGGTCAGGTAGGAGTGGGGTCTTGGTAGAGTGTCGGGGTACTCAGTGTGAGGGCTGGTGAGGGGATGAGTGCTCAGTGAGGGCAGGAACACAGGTGCGACAGGCCCGGAGATGCTGGGGGAGAAGGTGAGTGAAGAGGGGCCCAGGAGCGGAGGAGGGGGCTCTCAGGAAGAAGCTGTGGAAGGTTCCCCAGGACTGATGACTCTTCTTTGCTAAATATTTTCCCCGCTCCATGCAGTGGGACCACCATCCCGACCCGAAAACTAGCAACTTCTGCGCTCAGAACTGGTGTATGGCTCTGGGAAGAACTAGATGGGGTGGCTTCCGTGGCCCTACCGGCCCGGCGTCGTGGGGTGGCCAAGTCGGCAGACCTGACATTCACACACAGCAAACCCACTCCCGCTCCCACTCCCTCCTGTGCCCAGCACTGCTCGCTGGCCTATAAGGTCAGAGGCCAGAGCAGAACGCCCAGGAATCACCGCCCTTCTACCTTCCTCCCCCACCCCCACACCCTGGGGCAACGTGGCCCACCTGTTTATAGAGCAGCAGGTGCTTGCTGAAGTCTGGAAGGTTCCACTTACATTTGTTTATCCCAGGTGAGCCTTACTCAGTTCCCACACAATTGCACTTGCAACCTTATAGTTATTCTTTAACAAGTATGGCCAGCAACATCTACCCTCAGCGCTCTCTAAGCCTCTGGGTTTGGGTGCTCACTGCACCCTAAGACTTTCCCCAGAGCTCACCCTGTTCTCTTCTCTGGCCATCAAGGTGTCACGCACACCACGGAGTAACAGAAACCATTTCCTTGCGGCCAAACCCGCAGGATGTAGCTTTAGCACAAGCGGAGGAGAATAATGGCTGTGTTCTCCTGGCCACATCAGACGTAAAAGCCAGACTTTTTTTTGGCACAACAGATGCGACCCAGGTCTTGTGCCAGGGTTAGGTGCGTGTGTGGCTCTGTTTCTGTGCGTGGCACATGGCCACCGGTGCACACGGCCGGGCATGAGGCCTATCGCATCCTCTCCCCTCCCGGAAACAGAGAAGGCTGATTACAAGCCGCTAAACTGCATCTGGCCGGTGGTGTCCCAACACTGGCCCCACCAGGTGAGAAGGGAGGAAAATCAAGGCCTCGCTGCTGATCAAACCTCACCGACTCTAATTGTTTGTTAAGCCAGGGATTTTCAGCTTCACCGCTTCTCTGCGCGGCTCTCTCCAGGCTGGGCTCTGGCCTTGGCCGCTCTGTGGAGACCTAGCAAAACCCCATGGCTCGCCAACCTTTGCTGGTGGGCTTGGGCCGGGCACCTCGGAAGCGAGGCCAGAGGTTGGCGAGGTTTGGGGTGGCTTCACGCCTGAGGAATGACATCTCTTTGTGGGAACCGTGCAAAGACAACCAGGGGGTCCCTCACAGGCAGTGGCCACTCCCACGACCCACAACACAACAGGCAGGTACTGAGGCCCATCACTGGGGACAGGACTCAGAGGCTCGAGGATGGGGTTGGCGAGGGTGGTGGGAACAAGTTAATCTTGGACTTTATCTAGCAAGTTGTTTTTAAGAAGATCTGGGCTCACAGGGGTTAGGAGACTTCCAGTCTGATACTGACTGTCCTTGGGGTCAATCTCTTCCCCTTCCTTAGTCTCGTCAATACGTGATGGGATTGGATTTTTTCCAAAGCTGAGAGCCCTCTCTTCTAAGGAATCCTAACAAAAGGAGGGGAAAGGAACTCAGCTCTGGGCTCTCTCTGGTCGGCAGGGTGGTGGGGAGGATCTCCTCCCTTGCTTCTCCTTCACTCCCCGATGCAGCCCCCTGAATTCTACTGGGAAAGGTTAAAAGCCACAGACACACAACCCCCACCAGTGGCTCCTGCCCCAGGACCTGGGCCCAGAAAACTGTTGCCAGGCTGTGCAGTGAGTTCCTGGTCCGAGGAGTTGATGATGCTTCAGGAAGCAGCCCTGAAGGCCTGTCGGTGAGGAGGGGACCAAGCGCCAGCCTGGGGCCAGGAAGCATCTCCGCAGCTACCACACAAAGCAGGTGCCATGCCAAGGCATGACCCACAAAACTGGACCCTCGCGAGGGGCCAACCTAGAAAGCAGAGCCTACCAAGGGGAAGCAGACAAAGTGAGTGATCTACAGAGGGAGTCACCGCCGCAAAGAAACCAGGTGGGATAATCCACGAGCAGGATCATCTGCTGAGCAGCCTACATAGCCACAACAGGCAAAGCCCCGTCTGCAGCGGTCCTCACAGAGCAAAGTCAGCAGGAGGCCCGCTGGTCCCCAAGCGCCCCTCCACCCCCAAGGCCCCAGTGGCCGGGTGGCCCACTACTCACTGCGCCTCTGCCTCTTCCCCTTGAGCCCTCGGCTGCCAGCGGAGGCGAGGTGCATCCAGCTCAGAACCAGGGCCACCACACACAGCCCAAGCCGCATAGTCACTCGCCAGCAGCAGGCCCCTGGCAGGAGGGGGTCTCTGGAGCACGGGGGGCGCAGGGCTCTTGCTAATGCCTCATGGGCTGGGTCAGTGGCAGGAAGCCCAGGCTTGGGCCGTGTCCAAAATCCACCATAATCTCAGCTGAGGACAGAGGGTGGGGGCAACCCACTTCTCCATCGGCCCATAGGAGGTCCAGAGAGCTTTCCTCAAAGGCACCTCAGGGTATCATATGGGAGATCTTTGTCACTTCAGCAGGGGTACATCCCCAAACCAACCTGTTAGGAGAGAAGAAGAAAGGGTTAATCTGGGGGTACCATGGGGGTTCATTCCTTCAACCTGTGCCTCTACCCCTCTTGTGTGGTTCCTTACACAGAGATTCCGAGAACTCAGGAGGTTTGGACACTACAAATCGCCCACCAGGGCGCCCCTGCAGAGCCCACTGTCTCTTGTGGACCACCTCAGCCTGGAATCGGGCTGGCTACCAAGATGTTGGAATACGCAGTGTCTCAAACCAAACTTGTGAATCACACTGGGCGCCAGCTGGTCTCACCCGGCTTCATGCCGCCCGTTCTGACAGGAAGTTCTTTTTTAGGTCTACCCTACAGACCTCATGTTGTAGGAATTTAGCGTCTCCTCAAGGGGAACTCTCCCTGTCCTTCTCCCAGCGAGCAATGCTCCAGCATTCTCTCCCCAGGGCGGAGTGGCCCTTGTGCCTTTCACATGTCCTGGAGCTAGAGCCGTGGTCTCCCCACAAGCTGGCAGACCCTGCATGGCCCTCTGGGCTTGGCGGGAGGAACGGAAGGAAGGCTTCCCCGGCCACAGAAACTCTGACACAGCAGGCCCGGCGGGCCTGGCCTTTGTGAGAGGATAAAAGAGGCTGCGATGCCGGCCCTGGCCAGAGACACAGAGAATGGGGATAATCCCCAGCCCAGGAGAGCCAGGTCTCTGGACCCACTGGCCGTGGTGATGGGGGTAGGGGAGCTGGTTCCTCCCTGGTGAAACATGTCTGAGAAGCTGGAGCTCAGCCTCGGAGTCAGAGGATGAGAAACCCCGCTCCGCACGCCCAGGGTCACACACTCTCAACACGCTGTCACCACTGAGGCCACCTGCACGTCCCCCCAAATGCTGTGGCATACACACCGGGACAGGCAGACTGGCAGTCATGGGGCTGTTGCTTTGTAGATGCCAGGAAAGCCTCACCCAGCCACTGGCTGGATGACTTGGACAGTCACTTTCGCCTCTGAACCTCAGTTTCCTCATCTATGAAATGGGGGTGAATATGCCTGTGGCCTGTTTCATGGGCTTGCTCTGAGTGCTGGCTGCGTTTTTTTCAAAATGAGGGATCTGAAATGCTAGTGTCGAGGTGCTGCCCACCCCTCTTCCAACCTTTCCCCCTTCGCCTCTCAGAGAGGCCCCAGGAGAGCCCACCTGTGTGGGAGATAAATCATTACCCCACAGGGGAGTTCGGCACCTCCCTCCTCAGCCTCTCCCACCAACTTTGAAGGCCAGACACACTCAAGTGGTTAAGCTGTCTGTGAGACATGTTTACATGTGGCTGATGGATCCCACCTGGTGCTGTGGCCAGAGCCAGCAGAGATGCCCCTGGCCACCCCCAAATGCCAGCCCCTTCATGCCCCTCCAGTACTCCCTTTATGACTTGCCAAAGCCGCCCATCCTCCCCACCCCCCACCCCCCCACATGGAGTGATCAATCTGGAGTCTTCAGGCCCACGTATACAATCTCAGAGGCTGGTCATCGAGCATGATGGTTAAGGGCATAAACTTCAGAGTCAGATTGCCTGGCTTCAAATGGTGGCTCTGCTATTTATTAGCTATTACCTTGGGCTAGCTGCTGAGCTGGTCTGAGCCTGAAGGGCGTTGTGTGCTTTTTATGGCTTAAATGAGTTAATAAACTGCTTAGAATGATGCATGGCAGATAGTGAAGGCACAATAATATAGGTTGTTTTTATGAGCAAGACTTTATTATGTGTCTACGTTTCAATGGTCATTTGAAAAGCGAAGGAAACCGTTTGTTATCATCTGGATACTAACTTTAATCTGAGCACTGCTTTGCAGTTTCACCATTTGACTTTCTTCATGGTTGATTGCCTTCCACTAAAGTGATTACTCAAAGTGATTGGGTTAACCTGTCACTCTGGGAACCCTGAGGACCCTGGCAGATAGAGGCTTGGGTGCTGAGTCTTTACACTTGCGAAACACTGGAGAAAGCCATGTCAAACCTGGCATTAAATCCTGGGTCTGTGAGACTTTGGCCCCATCTGTGATCAGTATCTCTGGGGTGCTTGTAAGCATTTCTGTACTCACTGTGCCTGCCCACACACACTGTCCAGGTTAGTGCTGGACAAATATTGGCTCCCTTCCTCCCTCCCTCTTCCCTTCTAAATTCTTCCAAGTCTTAGCTTCCACTCCAACTCTTGCACTCCTATGACCTTGTCAGCAAGCATCTCCTGCCCATTCCCACCTGAATCACCCTACAAAACATGACTGCAACCAGGATCTGGATCTGAATTTCATTGCAATTGACCCTGGCTTCCCTCACCCATCCCTGGGTGGGAAGAGTTTTGAGCACTTAAAAAAAAAAAAAAAAAGAACCAACCAAAGGATCAGTCCTGAGCAGAGCTAAACGCTCATTCTGCTAGGGGTAGAAGTGACAAACAGAAGGAAAACCAGAGGTTCAAGGGGTGAAATAGAGGTCGATGACTCCCCTAAATGAAGCATATGCTATTCAGCTCCATTTGGTTACCAACAGGCAGAAATAATAACTCGATATTGCCAGATTTGATTTTTTTTAAGAGAAGTTGGACATTCAAAAACGTTATGTGAAATCTGATTTTATAAACACTGGATAGGTCTTCAGTGTCAAGCCCCAGAGGCTCAAGCCTCTCATCCACACCCTGCAGCAGTCCCTCCCCACCCCCATGGCACTGGACACACAGACCAGGGCTGAGCGAGGGTACAGGAGCCTGCCTCATTTCTGTGGGTTGCTCTCCTTCACCCCTTGGGCTATATGGCCCAGGCAGTTCATTTTCGGAGGCCCATTTCTGTGCATGGGCAGAGGCAGTGGTGGGAACTGCCCAAGGTCTTAGGTATCTGGGAAGTAAGGAAGGGCATTTTCTTCAAGGTTGAGAGTGAGGGTGTCACCTACGGTGTACAGCTTGCCCTGTGCTGGGACCTCATTTAACCATCCACAACTCTAAGAAGAAAACCGAATGACCCCCACCTTGTTGGCAGTGACAGCACAAACCTGGTCAGTGATAGTGGGATTTGCTGCTCTGGACTGGGTGTCGAAGGGCGGACAAGAGACCTGAGGGTGTGGGGCAGGACCTAGCTTCCAGAATAAGTCCAGGGAGGTGGGGAAGGGGTTGAGACGGGAAGCAAAGGCAGAATGCGATGATTGGGTGGGAGACCAGGGAGAGGCTGCTAGCTAGGTGGTCTGGGGAGTCCCGAGGTCACAGGTGCTAGGGAAGGGGGATACAGCTGGGGTGAAGGGAGGACAAACCCTCCTACAGTGCGAATTGAGTAGCTTTTCACATTTTTGTCTGCAACATTACAAGGATGAATTGGTACTTCGTTGGCCGGGTACAGACCCAAAACATAAACCATTCCGATAATTTCTCTTTAGCCTCCCCACGGGACCCTCCGCAGGGTGGAGAGTTTTGGCCACCTAGGGGGTTGGTGGGCGGCAGCAGAAGAATTGCTGGGCGGGAGGCGGGACCAAATATTGGTCTGCCTGACCCTCTGGGATTACTGAGTCTGCCTGAGCCCAGCGAGCCAGGTGCTGGGGGCCTTCTCCCCACCCCCACCCCCACCCGTGCGGGCAGGGGGAAAGTCGCCTTCATATTCCTCCCTCCCAGCCCTGGTGCGCAAACCTGAGACTCCCAACAGGTGCAGGGAGAGGGGAGTCCCCCTGCTAGACCCCAAATCAAGATAACCCAGCAAGTCGGAGACGCAGACTTTACAGAGGAAAACTGCCTCCAATTACCGCACTCAGAATCTCTCTGAGCTTTCCCGGGAGCCCCCGGCAGGCACAGCTCCCACTTCTCCCCAATTAAGCAGGACCATTCGCCTCTCAGCGCCCGACCCCGAAGGCAGCGAGCTGCGCCACCTCGCAGGGCACCCGCCGCGGCCGCGCGAGTCGGGGGCCACCGCACGCCCCAGCCCCAGCTGCAGCTGCGAGACTGGGTAGTGGGTAACTGAGGGCCGTGGGAGTAGGGGAATCCGCGGCGTTCAAACCTGGGAGCTTCTGGGTTGGGGGTGGTGATGCATCGGGGAATTCGACTCGGGGAATTCAGAACTAGTGAGGAAGATCGTCCGGGGCTGCGTGGTTGGGGGAACCCTAGTGAGCCCCAGAGAGGGTGCTGCTCACTGGCTTGCCAGGTGACTTGGGGGGGGGGACGGCAGAACTTGCGGGGGCTGGGGGGGGCAAAGAGATGCACTCTTGCACCTTCACAGTGCAGAGAGCAGTCAGAAGCCCCTTCCTCACTCAGTCTCCCCCAGCGCTCAGCCAAGCCCCGACGGGAGGGCCCGCAGCGCCCGCGGTCTGGGGCCAGGGTGCGCCAGAGAGGAGGACGGGGTCGTTAAGGGGAGACTCACCTCCGCGCGCCGCCAGCCGCGGCAGGGGCAGGCCCGCGAGGGGTGAGGGCGAGGCCGGCTCACCCGCCCGGCCAGCCGAGGGATTGTCCTGAGCGCCCGCTCACCCGCGCTCGGCCCGCCAGTTCCCAAGTTGCACAATCTGCGGGCGGCTCACACCCTTAGGGGCCAGCGCCCCACCCGGCGCATCGGTCCTCTGGGGTGGCTCGCGGTCCGCAATGCCCCACTCTGGCCGTCAGCTCTCGGCGCTCATGCTTTCAGTCTCAGTCCGGAGAGGGGCCAGTCCTCTGCTCGCACGAGGGAGGGAATCCCCCCACCCTTTGCAGTCCCACCCCCGAGCCGGCCCCCCTTCCCGGGATCCGCAGCAAAAAACGGACTGGAGCGCCAGGCCCGGGAGCCCGTAGCCCCCTCCCGCATGCCCTTGCCGAAACTGGGGCGCGGTGCTCCGAGCGCAGACCTGGCAGTAACACACGCCTCTGGACCCCGGCGCCGACCCTCTCCCCTTCCCGGTTCACCTCCTTCGGCCCTAAGCCCCGGGGATTCCAGCAGTCAGAGCATGGGCTGCAACTCCCGGGCATCAGGGGGGGTCAACACTGGGGCCTGGGAGCCTCCCAAAACCTCAGTTTCCCTCTCCCGAAGGACTAGGAACCGGCTCTACAGGGTTCT